CGCGCCTGCCCGGCTAACCGACTCGCACCGAAGTGCCAGCACGTCAGCGCAGCGTGCGTGACGCGCTTCGTATGCTCCAGCAATTGTCAGCGCCATCCCGGCCGCGTCGGTCTCGCCAGACTAGCTGGTCGCTCTGCGCGCGAGCCTGCGCGCGCTAGCGCGGCCGCGGCGGTGCGCCAGCCAACGCCAAGCAGCCATCGCAATCTCCACCGCATGGGTTTTGCAAGCAAGGTTGCGGGTGGATGGGTGGGATAATTGCGCGAGCAGTGGAGTTGACATTTTCAGATTCGGCAGGGTGACTTGCACCACATGGATTGCACCACGTATATTGCTTCATACATATTGCACAACATAGGGTGTACTACATATATTGCACTTCGTGGATTGCACCAGGTACATGGCACAACGTAGGCCGCACAACATAGAATGTACACACCATCGTGCGCAACACCAGCGGCTCACTATATGTACATATACATGTGCATATTATGCAATCTATGTTGCACATCGTAGGCTGTAGCGTGTATATATATATGTGTATTTGCTGCACACACCAGTTTGCCCAACATAGGTCGCGCCACCTAAATTGGATTACTTAGATTGTATTACGTTTTTCCGCCACAGCATCGGCTGCACAACATTTATAGCACTGCGTAGAACGCACCGCGTACATTGTTTCACATGTATTGCGCACCATCAATTGCATCTCATCGGATGCGCCTCGTTTTTTGCACCACATCGGCTGCACCACACGTATTGCACATCATAGAAGGCACAACGTAGATTGCGCAACACCTACTGCACCACATAGGTGCCACCACATGGGCTGCTTGACATCTACAGCGCAAGATAGATTGCGCAACATAGTACCACATATATTTCCCTACGTATCAACAACCACGTACAGTGCACCACATAAACAGCACCACGTAGATCGCACTACATATATTGCATCACATACTTTGTACCACATGCATACCAAATCAGAGGTTTTACCACATAAGTTGCACGACATAGGATGCGCCACATACATGTTGCACTTTATTTATGTATACGTAGATCGCCCAACACATATTGCACACATCATGTTGCACAACATGGGCTGCACAAGAAGAATGCACCACGTCGATTGCGCTGCATATATTGCACCACGTATATTGTGAAGGCCTTGTGGCCTGGACCGCCGACCTTGAAGAGGGAACCGGACTCGTGTGGAAGGCACGGGATCGAAGGAGAATTTTTCTGCCAGTGAGGGGTGTTTTTCCACGAGGGTGGAGAGTCACAATTTCCGGACCCCCTCCTCCTTTCCCCCCGGGGGCCTTGCCCAGGAACCTCTCCCCCCCGGCAGGGAAGGGATCAAGACGACAACGACGACGACGACGACTCTAACGGAAAAATCTCGCGCACACGCCGACGGGGTCGGCGGATCTCACCACATAGTTTGCACAACATACAATGCACAGCATGAATCGCACTATTGATATTGCGCCACATGCCTTGCACCACAAATATTACATTGCATATATTGCACGACCTAGATCGAATAAAATTTATTGTGCAGCGCAGACAGGTCCACGTATGTTCTCGTTTCGGAAAAGGAACTCGGACCTACCACCCCCCCGAGGCCAGGATTATCGATCCCTTGGGGATGTGAAGTTACACACGATTCCGTCCCACCGATCATTCTAGATTTGAAGTCGTACAAACCCATATCCGCCCTTTCATAGTTGTCAAACAATATGCGCGCACATTCGTTCAGTACACGTCATCAGTTTGTAGTTTGCAAGAACCTCTCGCAACAAAGGGGACGAAGTGAACACGCGCGCTTGTCGCGCGTGCATGCCGAAATCTTTCAACATACATATGCTTACAAATAATGTCGCAATCGAGTGTCCCGAAAGCATATCATCACACATGGATTCGCAGCATGGTTGGTCAACACAAAGTCTGCGCGTGCGTTTTTCCGAATTCCGAAATCCATAGGTTTTCAGCATATTCATCACATGCGACCAAACGGGCCTCTCGCGCGCGCATGTCGAAATCATTCGAACGCCCTTGCGAGCGTGCTGGGGTGCACTATCCATATCAAACAATACCATAGGGGTCCACTCGCGCCTGTCGGCAGCGCGCGCATGTCGAAATTGTTCCAAAACCTCCATCACCGACACGTGGACAGACACCATCATCGTCACCGGCGGGGTCAGCCTCGGCGCCGTCATTGGCCATGCTGTCGTTTTCGTCATCGTCGTTTTCAGCATCGCTACTATCATCATCCTGTCTGCCGTTACGGACGTCGCCATGATACCGCGCCCGCCCGAGTAACTGACACGCACGGAAGTGCCCGCGCGTCAGCGCGGCTTGCGAGTCTCGCTGCGGAACCCCCCGCCGGTCAGCGCCACCGCGGCCACGTCGGTCGCGCCAAACTAGTTGGACGCTCTGCGCGCGAGCCTTCGCGCGCTAGCGTGGCCGCAGCGATGCGCCAGCAAACGCCAAGCAGCCATCGCAATCGCCGCCGCGTGGGCTGTGCAAACCAAGTTGCGGGTGAATGGGTGGGATGATTGCTAGGGAAGTGGAGTTGACAAATTTTTGCGAACAAAAATCAAGCAACACCTATCGGCAAACATCTATGTGCACATGTGCATCATTTTGAAATGCGTGGGTGCCCGATTGGCTTCTTGTAGTTCGCGTGGGTTAGTGTAGGCCCGGGTCGCTTGATACGTTTGCAGCGGGAGCTGCCAGTGAGTTTGCAAGGGGAGTCAGCATGGGAGTAGCCTTGCCGATATAGCATTGGGAAACTGTACCTGGGGGTAGTCGTTTGCACGGCCATGTAGTGCGCGGTATAAATGCGGCGTGGAGGGGCATATGGGATCGGTCTGGTGCGCGCGCGTGCACCTTTGTGCATTCGTGAGGGTCGGTCGCATGCTTAGACAGCCAGCCCGAGCAAGGCGGGCCACGGCGTGTTCTCTACCACGTTCGCGCAAGCGGGGGGTTGTATTCGTGAGCCGCGCACAAGCATGTTTGAAGTCACTGTTTGGTTGGTACGCGACAGTTGGGGCGACGGCGACGACACATTTTCTCTTCCTGTCTCTCCTATATCTCACTGCGTCCCTCATGTCACCCTCTTTCCACGCTCCCCTTTCCACTCCTCTCTCGTGCTTTTTCGTTATATTTTCTTGTCTTGCCCCTCCCTCCTACTACTTCTCCCCTTTCTGTCCCCACGTTCCTTCCCTTTCCACTCCTACTCCTCTTCCTCTTTATCTTCACTTCGTCTCCGGGTGGTCGTCGTATTCACGATGGTTTACCTCGGTCTTCGTCGTCGTCGGTCGTCGGCGGCGTCGGCGTCGTCGGTCATCGCTGGTCGTTGTCACCGTCGTCGGTTGTCGTCTTCGGCGTCGTCGGTCGTCGTCGGCGAGGGCGCCGTCGTCGGTCTGTCGTCGTTGGTCGTCGTCGTCGTCGTCGTCGTTCGTTGTTGTCGTGGTCGTCGTCGTCGATTGTCGCTTGTCGTCGTCTGCTTCGGCGTCATCGGTAGTCGGCGGCGGCAGCGCCGTCGTCGGTTTGTCATCGCCAGTCTGTCGTCGTCGACGGCGGCGGTCTGTCGTCGTCGTCGTCGTCGTCGTCGTCGCCGCCCACGCCGTCGTCGTCGTCGTCGTCTTCGTCGTCGTCGTCGTCGTCGTCGTCGGTCGCTGGTTGCCGCCCCCGCAAAGGGTGCGCCCCTCGACGACGCCCGCCTCGACCTGCGGCTGGGGGCCGGCAGGGCCTTCGGCGTCGAGTCGGCCGAGGAGCCGCCGCCGCCATCGTCCTCGTCGTCGTCGTCGTCGTCGTCGTCGTGGTCGTCGTCGTCGTCGTCGTGATTGTCGTCGCTCGCTGAGTCGTCGTCATCCTCGCTCGTCGTCGCTCGCAGCGTCGTCGTCGACGTCGTCCTCGTCTAGGTCGTCGACGCTCGCCGCGTTGCCGTCGTCGTTGTCGGTGGCTGCGTCGTCGTTGTCGTGTCGGCGCTCGTTGCGTCGGCGTCATCGCCTCAGTCGACGTCGCCGTCGACGTCGTCTGTTGCGCTCGTCGGCGGCGGCGGCGGAGGAGGAGGAGGAGGAGGAGGAGGTGGAGCATGGATGTCGATGACGACGACGTTGGCGCGATGACGATGACGATGCCGTTGGTGTTGATGATGGTGATGATGATGATGGTGGTACAGGGGATGAATGTGATACTGATGTTTGTGGGAGAAGTTCATACAAGATCTCGGATGCGGAGGGATGAGGGAGGGATGGATGGATGGATGGAGGGAGGTGGAGCAGGAGCAGGAGGGAGGAGGAGGGAGGGAAGGGAAGGAGGGAGGGAAGGAGGAGCAGGAGGAGGAGGAGCAGGAGGAGGTTGAGGAGGAATCGGGTGGTGGTGGTGACGACAATGATGCTAGCTAGATGGGCCGATGTGTGTGGCTGTGATGGTGACGTTGCTCACGATAGCGAAGATGACGCCAGTGACGATGACGATGACGATGACAATGATGAGGATGATGATGATGATGATGATGCTGATGCTTATGATGCTGCTGCTGCTGCTTCTGCTGCTGCTGATGATGCTGATTCTGGGGACGACGACGATGAAGGAGGTGATGATGATGATGATGATGATGATGATGATGATGATGATGATGATGACGCTGATGGTGATTGTGATGATGATGATGATGATGATGATGATGATGATGATGATGATGATGATGCTGATGATGATGATGATGATGATGATAATGTGATGACGATGATGATGATGATGATGATGATGATGATGATGATGATGATGATGATGATGATGATGATGATGCTTCTGAGCTTGATGATGCTGATAGTTTTGACCGCGATGTGCTGGTGCTGTGAAACCCGATGAGGTTTATGATGATGGAGATGGTGATCAGGGGTGGGGAGGGAGGAAGGGAAGGGGAAAGGGGGAGCAGGAGCAGGAGGGGGGATACATCATGGAGGGAGGGAGAGGAAGAGGGTAAGGAGGGTGGTGGTGGTGGTGTTGATGACGAGATGATCGATATATATATATATATATATATATATATATATATATACACACATAGGTTGATGATACCAGAGAGAAGCCCCAATCATAATCTTTTTAGGGCTGTAGGGCTACAGGGCTACAGGGCTATATGGGCTCTTGGGCGCTATATGGGCTATATGGCTATATGGCTATATGGGTTATAGGGCTATTGGGCTATAGGGCGATAGGGATATAGGGCTATAAAGCTATAGGGCTACAGTACGTGGGCACCCGGGCACCCGGCACCCGGGCACCCGGCACCCGGCACCCGGGCACCCACCCGGGCACCGGGCACCCGGGCATCTGGGCACCTAGGCCCGGCCACCGAATCGGCGGCGAACCCGGGCACCCGGGCACCCGGGCACCCGGGCACCCGGGCCCGGCCACCGAATCGGCGGCGAACCCGGGCACCCGGGCACCCCGGCACCCGGGCACCCGGGCCCGGCCACCGAATCGGCGGCACACCTCACCTACCCGTAAATCCGCTAGGACCCCTACAGAGGCAAGCTCTGATTGGGGAATGTTAGTGGCTGTGGTGTCGAACGTGCTTGCCGCAACGATGAGGCTGACGATATCGATGACGATGTCGATGCCTTTGCGGCTGTTGATGTTGATGACGATGATGATGCTGACGATGACGACGCTCATGATGATGATGCTGATGATGATGATGATGGTGGTGATGATGATGGTGATTGTGCTGATTGTAGACTATGGTGATGATGACGGTTGTGAGGATGACCATGAGTCATATACTTGTGTTGATGGTGGTGATCGTGACGATGACGATGATGATGATGATGATGATGATGTTAATGCTGATGATGATAATGCTGATGATGAGGATGATGATGGTGCTGATGATGAAGATGCTGATGATGATGATAACGCTGATACTGATTATGATGACGATGTTGATGCTGCTTAGCATGGGTGATGGGAACGCGTGTAATGTTTTTTTGTCATTGATGGTGATGACGAGTGCGATGATAATGACGATGCTGATTATGATACGGATGATGATGCTGCTGCTGATGATGATGATGATGATGATGATGATGAAGATGCCGATCACGATGGTGATGATCATGACGATGATGCTGATGATGATGGTGCTGATGATCATCCTGGTCATGATTATGATGGTGATAATGATTTTGCTGTTGATGAACATATGGTGATGATGATACCGCTAATGATGATGACGATCCTGCTGCTGATGATGATGACGATGACGCCGAGGATGAGGCGGAGGAGGAGCAGCAAGCGGAGAAGGGCTACGACGGCATGAAATTGCAGGAATACTGGCGATGATATTAGTACGACTTTAACCTTTCATTTTGAAATCTTGTGAATCTGCATCACGAGGATCGGCGGGTGGGTGGGCGTGCGGAAGGGAACGGGGATACGGACAATGATGATGATGAGGAGGAGGAAGAGGAGGAGGAGCAGGAGGAGGAATGGGAGGAGAGCTGAGGAGTTTGAAAGATACCAAGAGGGAGAAGGCGAGGGTAACGATGCTGAAAAGGATGCTGGCTATGAGGAAGGCAGTGGTAAGATCTAATGGGGGTTCGTGAACTTCGTGTGGCCCTGGGGCGTTCCATTGGGTCGGATCAGTTCTTGAAGGTTCGGGAAGTGGAGGGGGAGGACGAGGAGGAGGCGGAGGCGGAGGAGGATGTCGATGAGGAGAACGGAGGAGGCGAATCCAGGAGGCAGTGAGAGAGGAGGCCAAGTGGTGCATCCTCCTCTCGCTTCGCTTCTCCCTCTTTTCCCTCAGGGAAAGGGCGGAGAGGGGATGGGGATAGAAGTCCGATGGTAATTCCTGTATACTTTCTCACAATCCTTTCTTCTTCTCACCGCAAGAAGCCCGCGCGTGAACCCTGCTTTCAAAGGGAACTGCATTGCAGTCTTCTCGCTGATTGGAAGGAGCGAACTCGACAGGAACATCGAGTTGAACAGTGTGGAAGCGGGCTCCCCGTTTTGAACAGGAACCGCCCCCCCCGCCTTCCCAGTCCGTGTAACCAGGGCTTGCGTGACACTTCTGTTTGCTAAGTTTGTGGAAGTTTACAGCGAGAGCCCCAGTTGTTTGAACATGATCGGCCCCACTCATGTGCAGTTGTTACGCGTGTTCAGTGCGCGAAGGCCCGCCCGTCCCGGTAGTTGCTGCAAGCTGGTACGTTTAATACTCGCCTCGAACATGCGAGCGACTGATTTTGACGAGGAAGCGCCCTTCATCCGTGTAGCTGTCGCAAGCTTTTTGGACGAATGCGCTCAGCGCTCATACGAGAGCCCCATTTGAACTAAAATCCTCCCGTCCATGTAGCCTTTGTAAGCTCTTACGAGTACTATTCGCCGCGAAGAGGCGAGAGCCCAATTTTGAGAATGAAGCGCCCTTCATCCGTGTAGTTGTTGCAAGCCTGTAAGACGAATGCTCGCGGGCGCTAAGGCACGAGTTTGAACACGATCCCTTCCATCCTTGTAATGGTTGCTGCATGTTCTGGCAAAGGTGCGCGCGTCAAGGAGAGAGCCCAGTTTGCAAGGTCCCGCTCACAATCTTGGAAGCTGCATTATTGGGACGGCGATATGCGACGCCAAGGGGAGAGCCCCAATTGGAAAAGGAATCGTCCTCCATCCGTGTAGCCGTTGCACGCTTTGGACATGAACGTGCGCGGCGCTCAGGCAAGAACCTTCTTTTGAGATAGACCCTTTTCCGTCCGTGTAACAGTCGCACGTTTCAAGCTTCGGGGCCATTCACGGTGAGGCGAAACGCCCAGCCCGCCCTACCGAAACGCCGAGTGGCCAGACGAGGAGGGTTTGTCACCAAGGGGGAGGCCTCCGTTGGTTCCTTCCTGCTCCTCCTTCCTGCTCCTCCCTGCTTCCTCCCCCCTCCTGGGGTTTGGGGCGCGGGCTAGGGGTCAGGGAATGCCAGGAGAACTGAAGGCAGCGTCGAGAAAGCTTGAAGGCCCCGTGCGCCAGACTCGCAGGCGAAGGGGACAGCGCGGGCGGGGCGCTGGGCGCTGTGCACTCGCGCGCTCGCGCGCGCGCGCGCGCTCCGTCAGGAGGTCAGCCACCACGAGCTGGACGGCCTCATCCACGGGCCCCGCCCGCCCGGGCCAATGCCGCCGCCGCCGTCAGTCGCCGTCGGCGCCGGCTTCGCAGTCGCCTTCGCCGACGCCTTCGCCTTCGCCGACGGTCTCGCCGCCTTCACCGCCTACGCCGTCGCTGCCTGCGCCTTCGCCGCCGCCACCGTCGCCGTCGTCGCCGTCGTCGTCGTCGTCGTCGTCGTCGTCGTCGTCGTCGTCGTCGCCTCCTCCCTCCCCCCGTCGTCGCCCATATCCCTTTTCTCCTCCTCCTCCTCCCCCCCTCGCGCCTCCCACCTGTCTCTTCCTTCTCTCTTCCTACTCCCCTACCCCATGCCTGTTCCTTGACCTCCTCCCACTCGGCATCGCCTCCCTCCTGTACTTCGCCGTCGTCCCCCTACTTTTCCTCCTCCTCATCATTTCTCGCTCCGCCCTATTCCTGCTCCTGCTCCTGCTCCTGCTCCTGCTGCTGCTGCTGCTGCTGCTGCTGCTGGTGCTCTTCCTCATCACCCCCCTGGTGCCATTTCCCCGTCGCCTCTACCGCTCCCTCTGTGACCTCGCGCCCCCCTTTCGTGTGCTCCTGCCCCGCTCGGCGTGCCAGGGACTGCGCCCCCTCGCAGGAGAAGCGGCGGCGGAAGAAGAAACGCGGCAAGCGAGGCGCCGCCGCCGCCGCTGATGCCGCCGCTGATGCCGCCGCCGCTGATGCCGCCGCCGCTGCTGCCGCCGCCGCTGCCACGTCCGCCGCTGCCGCCACTGCCGCCGCCGCCGCTGCCGCTGTCGTCGGTGCCGCCGCTGCCCCTTTTCAGGAAGGATGTCGAGGACGAGAGAGGGAAGCGGGAGCAGGAGGAGGAGGGGAGGAGGAGGAGGAGGAGGAGGAGGAGGAGGAGGAGGAGGAGGAGGAGGAGGAGGAGGAGGAGGAGGAGGAGGAGGAGGAAGGGGAGGAGGAGGGAGGAGGGAGGAGGGAGGAGGGAGGAGGGAGGACTGTAGCCATTTTGGCTCAAGTCCGTAGCGTGGCCCAGGCGTCAGCAGCGGACGGAGACTTTCTGGCATTGGGGGGCGCCCGAGCGGCGCGCACGGCCCCAGCAGCTTTTCTCCCTGACATCACCAGTCAGGGCACACTCGATACTCAATCGCCCAGCTCGTCCTCTTTGCCAGCCACACGTGTTTGATGGCACCGTGGAAGGATGCATCGCTTCAGTTTCTTTCTTCGCTCCAGGGAGCCGAGCCCTGGACGTGTGGTCACTGTGGCACAGGAGGCAACTTCGCGACCAAGATGCAGTGTCGCCAGTGCTTCGCCCCCGCGCCGAAGCACATGCAGGCGGCCATCACGCGTGCTTCCCGCTCCTCACCGGTGCGGCGACCGTGGCAGAGGGCTGACCCCCCAGCTGGGGGCAAGGCCAAGGGCAAGGGCAAGGAGAAAGGGGACAAGGGCAAGGACAAGGGCATGGCTGGTCCCGCTCCTCGCGGCGCTGCTGGCACTGCTTGGGGCTACTTCGGGGCTGGCACGGACCTGCTCAAGTCAAAGGCCGCCGAGGCGTCCGACCCCATCTCAGTGCTCGACAAGTCGATTGGCACGCTTGAGTCCCTCGCCGACCCCAGCCTCGGCCCCATCATCGAGGCCAAGCGGGCGGAGAGGGCAAGTCTGGTCGCCCAGAAGCGGGCAGGCAAGCCGCTGCACCTTCAGCTGCAGGCTCTGGAGGGCAAGATGGCCGCCGCCCAGCGCAAGCTCGCGCGCCAGCGCGATGAGGTCGTGCCCGAGCTGCAGCAGCGCCTGGCAGAGGCCCAGCAGGTGCAGGAGGCGGCCTGTATGGAGCTGGAGCAGCTGCAGGAGGAGAAGGCTCAACTGGCCAGGCGAGTCGTGGCGGAGGAGCAGGCCCCTGCGGGGGCAGCGGGTCCTCGCGGCGGTGGCCCACACTGCGGGCAGGCGGTCATCAGCAAGCTCGTGGCCAACCTGGAGAAGTTGGTGGGGGACACCGAGGGCGACGGCGACTCTGTGCCCAAGCCACTCGTGGAGTCCCTTCAGAGCTTGCTCAAGCTGGTCAAGGAGCTCCCTCAGGCCTCAGGGCCCCCCGCGGATGCGGCCGCCGCGCCTCCTGGGGGGCCTGGCGCAGCGGCGGCGGCCGCGCCCCCAGGGGGGCCTACTGCCGAGTCCTCGGCCGACGGCGATGGTGACGCAGTGGAGGAGCAGATGCGCAAGCGTGACGAGCTGGTGGACCAGTGCCTCAGCGGGCTGCCCGAGGAGGAGCGTGCCGCCAAGCGGGCGGTGCTGGGGTCCTTCTACGACCATCACGGCGAGGAGGCGCTCCCCCAGGCGTCGCTTTGATGGGCCCACTGGCCCGCCCTTGATCGACTGGACCACCTATGGGGGCGGCCAGTTCTGGAAGGGCGAGGACCGCCATCACGAGGAGCCGCGCGGGGTCGGCTTCCCTGAGGGCGGCGGGGTCGCGCACGCTGGCCAGGACGTCGGCTACGGCGCGCCCGCGGCCATGGACAGGCGACTTTCGCCCGTCGTGCCCATCCCTCCTCTGCCCACCTGCCTCGAGAGCAGGTCGCAGCACGTGGGGCGTGACCCAGCTGAGCAGCCTCAGAGGCGCCGACGCACGCGGCGAGGAGACCGACACGTCATCGCAGCCACTTTCAATGCTAATCTCTCCTGGGCTCGAGTCGAAGAGTTCATGGAAGAAGAGATCGAGCAGATCATCAAGAGAGGTGGCGTCCCCATCATAGCGGTGCAGGAGCACGCGAAGCCAGCCGAGTGGTTCAACGTCACCGCAGCGGCGCAAGAGCGACGTGGCTGGCGAGTTGTGGGGGCGCCTGCCGTGCGCACGGCGGAGGGCGGCCACTCGGCGGGGGTGGCGCTGATCACACCGCGCTGCTGGAGCCTCAGCCTGGCGCCTGGCCAGGCGTCGTGGGACATCTCCCCCGCGGGCGCCGCAGGCAGGCTGTGCTTGGCCATGACCGAGGTCAAGGGCATTGGGTGGATGGCCCTCTTCTCGATTTACTTGTTCACGGGCAAGCCAGTCACCTGGGCTCCGAACGCGGCCCTGCTGGACACCATTGTTCATTGGGTCTGCCAGATGAGGATTCCCTGGATGGCCATGGGCGGCTTCAACAATGAGCCGCACGCCATCCTGGACAGCCCCTGGAATCAGGGGGCTAAAGGCCAAGTTCTGGCCTGGCAAGGGGAAGGAGGCACTTGCAGGTCCAAGGTGGTTAAGCAGGGCGTCGAGGAGTTTAAGGATCGGGTCATCGACTTTTTCTGGGTGGATGCGAGGCTTGCAGTGATCTTTTGCCCAGTGAAGTCTTTCGAGAACATGCCCTGCAGGCCGCGCAGGCCGACTTGGATCCGCGCCGACAAGCCCTGGCACGCGTGCCAGATACAGGTTCTCAAGGGCCCCAAGCAGTACCCCATCACCAGGCCGCCGCCAGTCAGGCAGCCCGAAATCCCGCAGGGCTACCCCAAGATCGACCTGCTCCACGGCTCCCAGCAGCACCTGGACCAGTGCTGGAGGGGGTTCTGCTCTGCAGCCGAGGCCGAGCTTCGATCTCTGTTCGGTTGGGCGGAGTTGGAGGCACGCAGGTATGAAGGCCGAGGCTTGACTCCCGAGGTGGTGCAGAGACAGCTTCTTCCGAAGCATGACAGCCCAGTGGCCGATCGGGGTCCTGCCAGGGCCTGGCGCTGGGCCGCGGGAGAACTGGCCTGGATAGGCCAACTTGTCTGCTGTGTCTTGCGGGGCCAGTCTGTGTCCGTGGCCAAGGCGGAGGCCTTTGCAGGCCAGAACACCACCTCGGGAGAAGGGCCTCCTCGATCCTACAACGAGGAGGTAAAGGGCCAGCTCAGACGGGCTTGGAGGAAGCTGTTCCAGGCGAGGCACCACTGGGACCAGATGGAGCCCTGGAGCGCGGGGTTCCTGCCCACGCTGCGCATCCTCTCCGACGTGGGGCCCCGCTTCATGGGCGCGCAGGCCATCTTCGCGCTGCAGCAGTTCGCCAAGGTGAGGGCCCAGACCTGGGAACAACACCTCATGCGGCAGCGGTCCAAGCGATTCTACGAGCGCCTGAGTGCGAAGTTCCCTGGCTCGGGGGGGTACCTGCACCGCATCTGCCACTGGAAGCAGGCGTGGAAGGAGCCCATCTCGTCGGCCAAGAAGCGGAAGTTACCATCGGATCCGCAGCTCGCGGTCGACCAGGAGGCGCAGGAGTGGGCTGGCATTTGGCGCGCGGGGTCAGGTGACTACGCCAAGTTGTGGCAGGGCGCCCAGGTCCAGGCCCAGCGGATGGCCCACGTGCAGGAGCTGCCCATCATCGACGCGGTGCAGGTGCGCGCAATTTGCCGCAGCTACAAGTGGAAGACCGGGCTTGGGCTTGACGGCTGGCACTTAGGGCACCTGGCCTGGCTCAGTGACGAGGCCTTGACCAGCCTCGGGGACATCCTCATGTTGTGTGAGCGGCTCTGCTCGTGGCCCACGGCCATGCGCATGCTTATACTTTTCCTGGTCGCCAAGGAGGACGGAGGCGGCAGGCCCATCACCCTCTTTCCCACGCCAGTACGCATCTGGGAGGCCGTTCGTGATCCTTTGGTTCGGCGATGGGAGCGGGCACACGTGAGGCCCTACGACTGGGCATCACCAGGGCGCAGCAGTGAGCATGCTGTTTGGAGAGCGATGCTGGACGACGAGGCCCTGGAAGGTACCTGTTTTGCGTCACTCACCGCTTTGATGGATTTGGAGAAGGCGTACGAATATGTTGCGCTTAATTTGATTTGGATTCCCGGGTTGGTGCAGCAAGCACCCATGAGTGTCTTGGCCCTCTCACTGGAGTCGTACGCTTTCCCTCGGGCGGTACGAAAGGGCCAAGCCGTTGCCGACGCCATATGCACCTACGTGGGGCTGCCCGCTGGGTCGAAGTAGGCCAACCGCTTCCTGAAGATTGTGTTGTATCCGATACTGGACGTCGTGGCCCGATGGCCAGGTGCTAAGCTGGAGATCACCAAGTTTGTGGACGACCTAGCCTTGCGGATGGTGGGCAGGAGCACACAGCTGAAGGTGATCTTCCCCGACCTGGCCCGCACCCTCATCCACCTCCTGGAGTCGTTGCTGCAGCTCAAGGTCTCGAAGGGCGAGGGAGGCAAGTCGAAGTTCGTCTCCAGCGACGTCTCCTTGGCACAGGAGCTGGCTCAGCCCATGGCGGACATTGGCCTTCAGCACGGCGAGAGCGAGCGATGGCTGGGCGTGGACTACCAACCCCAGGGCCCTCGGAAGAAGGCCACCAGAGCCAGACGGTTTAAGACTGTTCGAGGACGCTGGCACAAGGCGGCGGCCCTCAAGCGACGAGGGGTGAGGATACGCCCTGTGGTGCAGCAAGGCCTCAAAGCGTCAGTTGCGTATGGGGCGACCTGCGCTGGCACACCTCCTGCCGTTCTCAAGTTCGTCATGGCCAAGACAGCTGCTGTGCGTGCGGGGGCTGGGACCTTTCGTTCGGGCACGTTGGGCTGGGCGATCGCGCCGAGGACTGACGGCGCCGAGCAGCTCAGGCTCGCCCCGCTTCGGGCATGGGCACGCGAGGCCTGGGATCAGCCCGAGAGACGGAAGGAGATGGCCCACGCGTGGGGCCGTCAATGGCCCAAGGTGCAGCGTGCCCTCACCTATGCCCCCGCCAAGTTCGACGCCTGGAAGATGGTGAGGGGGCCAGCCGCAGCCGCCATGCTGACGGTGCACGAGCTGGGTTGGCACATGAAGGACGCTTGGACCATCCTCGACGGCGTGCACTGCAAGTGGGACATCCGTGAGGTCGCCCCCCATCGAAATCTTGCGGTCGGCAGAGAGGACGATCGCAAAGAAGAAGCTCATGGATTGGGCGCTCGCGGATGAGGAACGCCAGCCGCTCCGACCCGCTCCCTTCCTCTTGCCAGTAAAGCAGCTCATGCGTTCCAAGCCCACGGGGACTTGGACAAGGCACCGCATCAACAGTGCCAGGACGGTCGCGTTAGGAGGCTACCCTGTTCAGACCGTGTGCTACGAGCGCGGCCAGGTCACGAGCCCTCTGTGCCCTCTGTGCGGCAAGAAGAAGGGCACCTTGATGCATGTGTATTTTCTTTGTGATGCAGATGTGTGCGTCGCGATTCGTGATGGACTCACGGGGCCGACGCTCAAGCACAGTTTTCGGGGCGTGGTGCATGTGGGCGAGACGGCCGCCACGAAGGAGGAGCAGGGCTGCAGGGGCGGCGACGCGCTCTTCTGGAAGTGGGCTCGCGGTCTGATCGCGGACCCTGTGGCCGACTACCAGGTGCCCACGCCGCCCGACGAGTACCAGTGGGGTGACCCCGACGGGGAGATGGTCCTGTCGGGCTGGGTGGCCACGGACGGGTGCGTCCTGGCCCCCGACGTGGAGGAGGTCTCCACGGGAGGTTTTCGCCGCCATCACCTGGTGCGCGGAGAAGAAAAGTGAGGTTCAGTCGTTGTTCGGAGCTGTTCCAGTTGCGAGGCCCACGTCGGCCCACTGTGAGATCTGGGCAGTGTACCAGGCCATAAAGCACTCGGTAGGGCTCGTAGGGCTCCTGATTGATAGTAAGCAGGTCGTTCAGGGGCTCTTGGCTGGTCGAGAATTTTGTGTGAGTAGCGAGCAGATGACCGCGCACCTTTGGAAGCTTGTTTGGGATGCCCTGGAGGATCAGTGTCTCATCCCAGGAGAGTCCGTTCAAGTCGTCAAGATAAAGTCTCACATGACGAAGGCCCAAAGGGCCTGTCTTTCTGGTGAGAATCTTGTGCACTTTGATATGAACAGGTGCGCGGACGCTCGTGCAAGACAGGGAGCTGACCCCTATGCCGCCCCAAAGTGGAAGGTGGAACAGGTTCAGCAGTGTCTCAAATTTCAG